TGTATGGCAGAATCACACCAATTCCTGCTGCGCTGCTCCCGTCGGGGGTCTTCAGGAACCAGGAGACGGTGGTCTGACTCAGTGTCAAGTTGGATAACAGACCAGCATCTGCTGCAGTGACCGAAAAACCATAAAGTGGGATCTGACCAATACACAAAAAACACAACCTATGAATGGACATCTACACATACACACACTCTAGAGGAATAAAGGTCAGGTGGAGAATATTATGCAACAAATACAAGCAAAGTGCAACCATTCAAGCCCTGTCCTACATTCACTTGGTTTTACTTGGATTTACACCAGGCTAGACCGCAACAGTCAGGTTCCGTTAGTAAAAATCCCAGTCGTTTTCTCCACAGGAGTACTGATTTTTAAAAATAACTTAAAGATAAATTCAAGACGGGCCTACTGTGAGTTCTGAGGTAATTATTTCAACAGAATTCCAGATGAAAACCTACATTATCCATGATTCTGCAGAGAAATCTCCACCAATCAGAGACTAGTATTATTTATATACTACTGCAGTTTTTATTAATAATTTGACTTAGCTTTTATTTTTATACTTTCACTTTTCCTTTTCATTTTTGTTAAAATTTTTATATGTGCTTTTGTCATTTTTTTTTTACTTTAGTTTTATTAAATATTACTATTTAGATTTTTTTATTTTTTTTAATTCAGGTTTAGTTTTTATTTATTTCCAGTTAGTTATTTTAGTGCTTGTACTTAAACCACACAACGTAACTGAAATAAGTATTTATCTATTTAAGTTAGCAACATTTTTAACAGTTTCTGCTTTAGTTTTATTTAACAGCATCTCCATTTTTTAATATCCATGTGAAAAATAAATAGGAAAAATACTACCAGAACCAAGGCCACTGAAAAAGTGGGCAGCACAATTGCACTCTATAGACGCAACATTCGTTTCGAACAGCATTTAATATTGACTTCAACTCTGTGTCTGAACTGGGGTTTGTGTCAGAGCACTACAGCTGCATGACGGCTGACATTATGAACAGAATGCATGGAGGAGTGTGTGTGTGTGTGTGTGTGTTTGTGGAGTTTAAAGCTTGTGATTAGACTCTCACATGATGACTTGCTCGATCAACCCATGGAACTGGGTCAGCTGGGGGTGTGTGCTAGGGATGCACCGAAATGAAAATTCTTGGCCGAAGCCGAAACGGAACAAAATGAAACACTGGGCAGAAGGCCGAACACAGTTTTTCAAGTTTTTTCCCCATGTATTTTGACAATTTTTTTCACCATTGCATAAATTACATTTGATTAAAAAAATTCAATAAAATCCAAACTGTGCTTTTTACTGTTTTGTCTTGTTTTTCAAAGAAAAAATCAATTACAAAACAACAATTTAAAAATATTTAACACTAAACATTTTTTTACATTCTAGCAGACATTATACCAACAAAGCACAATTTAACTTAAAATTAATAAGTTACTAAAATAATATTTTTTAGTGATCAGGCATGTATTTTTTACTGTAAAATTAAAAGCAGGCTTGCTGAGCAGAAGAGACTTCTTTTAAAACATTAGAAAATATTACAGATCCCAATTTCAACACTATGTGTGCATGTTATAATAAATGTATTAACAGAGCTGTTGTAATTATTATCATTTTTATTGTCTTACTTTTTATTTTATTTTACAGAACAACAGTAAAATTACAATACTAACATTTATGAATGTTGGAGTTCTTGCTTTTTGTCAACTTTTATTTTGGTGATAACGCGCAGGAAGACGTCAGCGCTTCTTTTTGTTGACAACAGCAGATTTATAAATGAGTCTCATTACGAATACGTCGCACGTGTCGCATTGTCACATGCCTTGTAAAAACTCATAAAAATGTGACTGAGCAACTGACGAGTAACACTGGTTGAGTGCAGATTTTTGCTTTGGACTTTGAACCCTGGTTAACAAGCAGATCCGCTGCGAGTTCGTGCAGCGCTGTCAGAATACATGCAATTCATGCGTGTATTAGAAAACATAACGTTCTGCAGTTTATTTACTAATTGTTTAAGGCCATTTCGTGATTTCAATCATCATACAGTAACCAGCAACAACCACCCCTTCCTCTTCTCATCGAAGACATGCAATGCAGCACTAAACAGTCTCTCGCTGTCGGTGCTTGTAATGATTTCTGCGTCTTTCTCAGACAAGTTTAAATGCTTCCACACTGCTGACATGTTTGTTGCATTATACTGTAAAGAGTGCGTGCCTCTCACTCTGCACTGGTTGCTATTTGATAGCGTCACGTCATTGTTCGGTACAATTTATTCGGTCTTTTCGCTTATTATTTTCGGCCGAATAATTTCGGTTGCCGAACATTCGGTGCATCCCTAGTGTGTGTGTATTTCTTTCTTGTGTATGACAGTGCATTACAGTGCTGTGTGTGAGAGTGCATGCCTGTGCAAACAGCACTGCTGTGTGTGTGTGTGTGATCTCTTACCAGTGTATATGAGAGCGTAACATTGCGGTGATGCGTATGAAACTGCAGTGTTAAGAAGGAAACGTCAGCGGGAACCCGGGAAACGACAGCTTGAACTGTCCCATTCACTGGGACACTCACGTTCTGGAAGGTTCCCAGAGAAAACAGCACACGGTCTGCAAAACACATACAAGAACACAGTTGAATCAATATCTGATTCTTTTTTGCCCTTATTATGATATAATCTCAATGTTTGACCCCAGGAGCTGTTTTCTCAATTTTTTTACAACCATATTTTTTTCTAACCATAAAACTGTCAAGAATATTCTGACAAATATATATATATATAAACTGAAAGCATTTAAACTGAAAGCAGGCAGAGACACCAGTGAACACTTCAAATAAGGAAGTGGCTTTTGACAGTTGTGATTTGGTGTAGAAAGATGTTGGCTCATGGTTGCTCTGACTTCCTGCCCGACCATAAAATCTGACATGATAATCAAGTCATCTGATTTCACAATGACTCACACCTGCTGTACATCACAACTACACTGTGTGCAAACCTGCAAGATGATGCCTTTACATGCAGTACACGGATGTAGGAAGGAATGTGTGTGTTTCCATTTTATGGCAACATTTCTAGCAATAAGCTGCAAAGCCACTAAATCAGTGATGGGCAAACTTGGCCCTTCCAGGCCACTTTCCTGCAGAGATTTGATCCAACCCTGATAAAACTCACCTGCCTGTGGCCTTCTAGTAGTCTTGAAGACAATGATTAGCAGGGTTCAGGTGTGTTTGATTAGGGTTGGAGCTAAACTCTGCAGGAAAGTGGCCTGGAAGGGCCAAGTTTGCCCACCCCTGCACTAAATATTTAGTTGTTTTTCCTGTAAAACTCATTCTACGTTTTTAAAAATGTTCCATCCCCAGTTAATTTGTTCAAGTTTTGTGGTCTGCAGAGATCTTGAAGACTGAAATCACTTCCCTGCTCTGGAACAATCTGCCTCTCTCTTTCTCCTTCAGGAACGTGGAAATAGTCTCTAAATTGCATCTTATGGATCGTTGCTCTGTTTCACTGTCATCAGTGCATCGTAAGCAGGAATGAGGAGAATTAAAAGAGGAAAAAAAACACTGAATGAAAATACGTCACTGTTACAAAATACCAGAACATTACGAAGAGGCACAAAATTACAACTGACCTATACTAAAAACAATCAGACTCATTTAAATCAACAACATCTTCCCTGACAGACAAGAGATCATCAAATGCTCCAAACATCACAAAAAGACAGAAGCGTTTTACTACAGATCTACTGTTTCCTTAACCCTGTAAAGCCTATGGTATCATATTTGATAAATTATATTTAAAATATAACCTCAAAATTAACAGCATGATCAAAACATGTTGCACTACATTCCTTCTGTCTTCTGATTGATAGTTTAAACTTTTTAGCAAGTACAAGTTCTTTTATTATAATTATACAAATGTCCACCTTCAGCTCGTGCTTCACCTGTATTTTGGCTGTCAAATCCGATTTTTATCAAGTAAACGTAAAAATAACTTTGATATTGTTAGTAATATTTCAAGATGAACACTTACTGGACTGAAGCAGCTTAGGTTTACTTAATTAACCGGACATTTTTTCTTTTTTAGAAAAATCATGTTAAAATCTGAGTCTCAAATATGATCATCAGGCTTTTGAGGAACGTTTATTTGTTCATCTCTCAATCAGCATTGTAGTGGATTGCATTATATCTTTAAGCTAAGCATTTAAATGTCATCTTACTAAGACATATTACTGGAATTATAGAGTGACAACTGATATTTATATTATTTTATGCATCTACTATATTGAACCATGAAAGTCTGATGTACCAAATATGATGTAAAACTCATATGCAAACGTCTTTTATATTTTGTCTAAAGGTTCTGTTGCGTTTTATTTTTTGCATGGTTAAGAAAGACCATCACTGGGGTTTAGTGAGCAAATCTGCTCAGCTGATGCTCTCATACAGGAGTTTAGTCTAGTTCCTAAAGAATACAGGCAGTAAACAAATGTAAGAGACATAAGAAAACATGAATACACCTCAGACAAACGAATTAGTTATTGCAGTATCATATAGAAATAACAGGGTAAATTTAGTGGGAGGTTTACGTTGAAACTGAAATCACCCTGGTTAATTATAAAATCATACAGTTATAGATCAGCATTATTAAATCAATATCAATTCAGTATTCAGGTGTCGGAAATTGATGTCAGCTGTCTCGTAATCCAACCAAATGTCATGTTTCATGCCTGCGTTCGCATCAGTGTTGATGAAGATGTTTTGTTTTGTTTACTCACTCTCATCATGAGCGCGCAGGGAACTGACCCACGACAAGACGAGCAAAACCAAACATTCTCTCTTCAGTGGCATCTTCCTGGATCAGTCCAGTCCATAAACACGCTCTAGCAGCAGCGATCAGATTCGAGACTCATGCTGAAGCTTCTCGCTTAGCCTCCGGAAGACTTGCTCCTTGGGTGCGCTGCAACGCAACAACTTTTGAGTGGAACGCACGTTTTGCCTGTTGTACGCAGGCGCGACTGTATGGCGTCACGTGACGACGCTTTGAGCGCGCTCGGCGGAAACGGAAAAGGCCAAGAGGAGCCAACATGGCGGACAGGCTTACGCAGCTTCAGGATGCTGTTAACTCCGTAAGACTCTTTTAAATGTTAATTTGATGATTTATAAGCTGCAGAAGAGGTCAGACGTGTGCAAATCATATGTATTCAGTCATGTGTTACATGCAGTCACATTATTTGTGTAAGAAGTTACATTAATGTACTGTAGCGTAAAAAGGTGTTAGCATAGCATGCAGTTGTGAATAAATAAACAATTAAAGTTTGCGCATTCATTTGTACAGAAAGAAGATAATACTGTATTTAAATAAATATATGTTATGTTAAATAGGAAGTTGGAAGTAAGTCAAACTGCTGCTTCAAGAAATTTAAATCGCGGTCAGTACATACTTAAAATTATATGTAATTTTTTATTTATTTGTGACATACCACAATATTGTGTTATATTATGTACCCTTGTTGTTACATATTTTATAAATATATATTTTAGATTTTTTTTAAAATTTATGACATACAACAATATTGTTTTATAAGTGTTCAATTATGTACTCTTGTTTTTACATATTTTAAAAATAAATATGTAAAATAATGTAGTTGTTAAATTTTTGTTGTGACATACCACAGTATTGTTTTATAAGTGTTATATTATGTATTCTTGTTTTTACATAAAAAAAATAATTAAAAGAAGTTTGTGACACATTATTCATAATATTAGAGCTGAATTCTGAATAAACATGTTTAAAGTGCAAAGACAAGTCCAACAAACCGAATGCAAAGTTGGTTTGTTATATTGGGTTGCATGCATGCACTGTGTTTGATATATTGCTATGATGGGTGTGTTTTAGCTGGCTGATCAGTTCTGTAATGCGATTGGAGTCCTGCAGCAATGCGCACCACCTGCCTCTTTCAGCAACATCCAAACTGCCATCAACAAAGACCAGCCCTCTAACCCCACAGAAGGTGCACAGATCTGTACCAAACATCAGTTTACAGCAGCGCTGTGTTGTTGTTTGACTGACATGTTTTCATGTGTTATTCTAGAATACGCTCAGCTGTTTGCAGCACTGATCGCAAGAACAGCAAAAGATGTCGACGTGCTGATTGACTCTCTGCCCAGTGAAGAATCTACTGCCGCACTGCAGGTATGTTTATACACAAACAGTGTGATTGGCTGCTTGAAATGTGTATATTTATCCAAGCCAGCAGTATTTTAAAATATGGGTGGCAGTTCCGTATTTGTTAAGTGGCACTCAAAAGATCTGAAAGAAATAATTTAAAATAATAAGGTTACGCTACAAATTATATTTAACTATATACAAATTATATTTAATTTCAGCTAGTTGCCTAACTTTAGTGTGCTAAAATAACTATATCTGAAATAAAAATGTATACTATATAGACATATTAAAAACAATACTAATAAAACTAAAAAACCAAATATGACAAATTTGTTGTTCATTTATATTAATATACACTACCGGTCAAAAGTTTGGGATCAGTAAGACTTATAATGTTTTTTAAAGAAGTCTCTTATGCTCATCAAGGCTGCATTTATTTGATCAAAAATACAGAAAAAAACAGTAATCTTGCAAAATGTTATTACAATATAAAATAATGGTTTCTATTTTAATAGACTTAAAATATAATTTATTTCTATGATGAAAAGCTGAATTTCCATCAGCCATTACTCCAGTCTAAAGTGTCACATAATCCTTCAGAAATCTTATAAATTCTTATGTATGTGTATAGTTATATGAATTTATATAAATTAACTTATTTTAAGTTATTATAAATTATTATTGTTATTTATTATATTATTATTTATAAATAAAATAATTTTGAAGCGATGAACTGCTCATACCATGAAGCAAATGCAAGCAAATCCACTCAGTGATTTAAAGGGGTCATATGATGCGATTTCAAGTTTTCCTTTCTCTTTGGAGTGTTACAAGCTGATTGTGCATAGATAAGATCCCTGAAGTTGCAAAGACTAAAGTCTCAAAACCAAAGAGATATTCTTTATCAAAGTTAAGACTCTGCCACGCCCCCCTAAAACGGCTCATTCTAACACGCCCCCACATGTCTACCTCACTATCTGGGAAGATTTGCATAACGCCGCCCAAATGTTCACGCAAAGAAAGAACGCGTGGTTTCAGTAACCGCAGTTAGTGTTGAAACAGCCATGTCAGGGAGACGCTGTGTGTTTCAGTGCAAAAGCAAAAGCACTTTATTTGGCCTTCCGAAAGTAGATGCATTTAGGAATCTTTAAGATCACTTACAACAGAACAGCAATGCATTTTATGGACGACAGTTT